TATTTTCACCAAAAAAAAAAAAAAAAAACATTGAGAAGTTAGAGGGTTGATATGTTGTGGGGTGGTTAACTGATGTCATAAAACAACATGAGAAACTATTTGTTCAGTAAGCCTTCACTTGAAGTACAATAAAAAATAAAAATAAAAAAGTTTTAATTGCCAGCCCTTCATTTATCATGCCCTCTTTTCCCTCTTCTGTGAGATCAGTAATATCCCAGATGGCAGTTACTCCAAGGGCCTGGATCTTGGAATGAAGGTGATATGAAGCAGAACTATAGCTGACCCACAATGGGGCATATGGCATAAACCATTATAAGCCCCTGAGACGGGGTATTTGTTACCCCAGCTTAGCCTAGCTTGACTATTAACAGTGACCAAGAGAGCTTTAATTCCAGGAATGCAAGGGTAGTTTAATTAGTAAGTTCATTGCTATAATTTATCACATTAATAGAATTAAGGAGAAAAATTATATGATTTTTATAGATTTTGAAAAGCCATTTGACAAAAACGTAAGTATTGATATAAAAAATAATCAGTTAAAGGAGAATTAATGGATAATTCCTTCACATAAGATATACAGGTATGCATATATATGTATGTATATGTGTGTTTGTATAGATGTGTGTTTCTATATTTCCAAAGCCAGTATTTTATTTATTGGGAAACTACTAGAGGTTTTTCCATTCTAGTCAGGAACAAGACAAGGATGCAGTATATCACTACTATTTAACATTGTACTGTAGGTGATTAGCCAGTGGAATTAAGCAAAAAACCAAGACAAACAGAAAAGCATGAGGAAAATTTGAAAGGAAGAGTAAAGCTATCACTATATAGATCATATGATTATATATCTGCAAAGTACAAAAGAATCAGTGAAAAATTACGACAGAAAACTTAATAAAGCAGAGGACATAAGATTAATATAGGAATCAATATTCTTCACATATGCAAATCATAACAATCAAGAAATAATGGAAGAGCAGACCCTATTTATAATCGCAAAAACAAACCAAAACAAAAACTGCCTAGGAAAAAACTTAGCAAGAAATTGGCAAAACTTATGTGAGAACCTTTGCAGAAGAGCTAAAACACACTCCTGAAAGACACCAAAGTACAACTGAACAGGTGGAAAGACATACCATGTTCTTGGATAGCAAGATTCTACATTGTAAAGATGTCAGTTCTCCCTAAGCAAATTTTAATGTAGTGAAAATATCATTAGTTTTTTTCCTAAGGAGTCCTGGTGGTTAGACAAGTTAATTCTAAAGTTCATTTGGAAGAATAAATGAGCAGTTGTAGCTAGGAAATCTCTGTAAAGAAAGCAATAAGGGAGGGTTAGTCCTACCAGATAATTAAATATATTTATAAATAATGAAGTACTGACACATGAATAGACCTTGAAATGTCACAGGTTAGAAAACCCAGAAATAGACTTAAGTGCACATGGAAATTTAGAAATGACAAAGGCAGCATCTCAAATCAAAAGGGGGAAGACATTTTTAAAATGGTGTTGGGACAACTGCATACCTATATGCAAAAGGATAAAACTGGATCTGTTGTTCACCATATACCAAGATGCATCCCAAAGGGATCAAAGATCTAAATGTAAAAAAGAAACCATACAAGTAGTAGCAGAAAAACTAGGTGAATTCTTTCATAACTCAGAAGTGGGGAAACTCCTAACCCTGATTCAGTATCCCAAAGATTATTGTGTTAGTTGCTGTGTGACCACATGTGTGCAGAGTAGAACTGCTGATCACCAGGCCTGTCTTCTGAGGCACCTCTGGGTGACTTCAAACTGCCAACCATTTGGCTAGTAGTCGAGCACTTGACTGCCCACACAAGGAAACACTGGCAAAAATGCTAAATACCATTACACAAGGTTACTCCATACAGCATTATTTGTAATAGCAAAAAACTGCAAACAACTCAAATATCCATCAGTAGAGAACTAGTTAAATAAACTTTGATACTTCTATGCAGTAGAGTTCTCTGTAGTCGTGCAAAGGAGTTGGAACAGATACTGCTATGGCATGATCTCTAGGATATATTCTTAAGTGAGAACAGAAAGGTGAAGGGCAGTGTGATTAGTATGCTACCTTTATATGTGTATATATATTTATTGGACCTGGTGATCTGCTCCTGTAAAGATTACAGCCTAAGAAATGTATAGGCAGTTCTAGTTCTACTCTGTCTTATAGGGTCACTATGAGTCAAAATCAGCTCAGTGGCACACAGCAACAACATGTCAGTATATTTGTTGTTGTTAATTGTCGTTGGGTTGATTCTGACTCATAGTGACCTCGTGTGCAGAGTAGAACTACTCCATAGGGTTTTCAAGGCTGTGACTTTTCAGAGGCAGATCGCCAGGCTTTTCTTCCAAGGTGCCTCTGGGTGGGTTTGAACCACCAACCTTTTGACTCGTAGTTGAGCACTTAACCATTTGTGCCACCCAGGGACTCATACAGTGTATATGTGTATGTGTGTGTGTGTGTGTATGTCTGAGTTCATACTAGACTTCCGCCTTTCCACATTTGTAACTCCTTTCTCTATCAGTGAGAAATCTGACTCCCATTATCCTCAATGTGTTTACTAATTTGCTAGTCTAGAACACACAAAAGGAACTGGTTTGATTGTTTTTACATTTTAAGGTAAACTTTACATACAGTGAAATGCACAAACTTAAGTGTACAATTCTCCATGTGTTTTTACAAATACATGCACCCATGTAATCCATACTCTTAGCAAGATATTGACCACTGACATCATCCCAGAAAATTTCCTCAGGCTCCTTTCCTGTCCATTCTCTGGTTCTGCTCTGCCCCCAGAGGGAACCATTTACTGATTTTTTTACCATAAATTAATTTTTGGTGCTTTGAATTTGCATTAAAATACTCTACACATCAATAAGTCTAGATGACAAAATTGTAATTGTTGATGCTGCTTGATTATGGAGGTTTATTTTACTGTTTTCTCTACTTTTCTGAATGTTTGGAATTTTCCATAAAAGCAATTTTTAAAAATGTTAATTTTTCAGTGTTAATTCAGGGGTAGTCTCCTTTACTGAGTAATAGCTAATGGTTATAACTAAGATTCTCTTTATGTTTCTTCATAAATTCTGAGTTTTCAAAGTGGTGAAAGACAAGTAGCAGGATACCTCAGCAAAACATCTCCCTTCTCCCCAAATATCCACACAGCCTCTCCCTCCCCTGACTTTTCTCATAAACCAAGGGATTTCATCTAAATCAGGAAGGGAACTGTGGCAGAGGTTAACTTCAATATGGTGTTATTAAAAATATTTGTTTGGCATGAGAAATTAGATCAGCAAGATTTACTTGTAATGATCACTAGCAGCTCAGGAAAAGTGGCTTTTAATTAATATTAGATATTTTTATATATACAATTAAAAATAAATCCAAAC